AATTCCTCCTTGTCCTGAATTGCATGGCGTCATTTCGGCCTCGTTTGCTCGCCCCGGCTGGGCAGTTTCGTTTCGGGCGAGGAAGGCGGCTGGCAGAGCCGAGGAAGGGAGGGAAGGAAGGGGGGGGTAATCCGAGGCTGCCTGGCCGGAGCTCCCCGGGACGGGCAGAGGGCATCCACTGCAAACCCAGCGGGCACAGGATGCCTGTTTTTTTGTTGAAATCAAGGGGGTTTCGCAAAGGGGGCACAATTGAGTGGCGAGCCTCGCCAACGCCGCTTTGCAAAGCGGGGCATCCGCGGCAGCGCATCGCGGCCCTTCTTCGCTTCTCCCCCTCGCTTGGAAGGGAAGCCGGGCAGGGCCGGATCGGCGCGTCGGCGCCTCTTCCCTGGCCAAGGCGGCGTCTTGGCCGCCCGCTTCGCCCAGGCAGGCACCTGCCCGCGGCCCTCGCCTTGCCCGCCCGCTCAGCGCGGAGAGGCGCCGAGGCGGAGGAGCCGGCTGGGCTGCCTCCTGCGGGCAGCCTCCGCGGCGGAGCTGGGGCTGCTCTCGGGCCGGGCCTCGGCGGAGCTGCGACCGGTGGGGGGGGATTTATTTTATATATGTATTAAAAAACATTTTTTTTTCGAGTGGGTGGATGAAATCTGATTTAAATAGCTCTGGATCTGGGAAGGCGCAACTGCCGCGCGCCTTTCGGAGCGGAGCGAGGTTTAGGCTGGCGAGGTTTAGGATGCGCAAATAGGCAGCGGGGTCGTTCAGCGGCCCCTCGCCCTTGTAGCCAAGGTGTCCCCCTAATTCGTGGGAATCGCTCCGAGGCTGAACACGCGTGTCCTCTCCACCGCCGGGCAGAAGGGCTTTTACGCCGATCCCTGTCCCGAAGTGTTTCTAGTGGCGCGGCTGCGTTCACACGACGCTGGGTTTGGTTCCCCGTTTGCACGGTCCGCGCAAGCCACCCGGCCGAGCGGGTTGATTGAAGGCCCCGCCAAGGCTAAAGCCGGCTGGTGACCCTGACCCGCCAGGCACCGAAGTCTGAAAGGAGCCGGTGTAAAAGGGTCGTGTGAACCCAACCGCTCGGGGAAGAAGGGGAGTGGGGGGGAGAGTCCCGCAAGAGGCCTGGTTGACGGGCGGTTCCATACCGGGGCGAACTTCTCGGGGAGCCCTGAGTCGCGTTCCCACATCCCTCCCCGCCGCTAGTCCTTATTGAGGACGAAAGAAGCGGTGGGACCCGGGACAGAGAACGCGGGGACCCTGATTCGCAAAGGGCTTTTCAGACGGCCGGGTTGGAGGCCCCCCTTATAACGAGTGCAAGGGAGCGTCCGGGGCACCGGCGTTGGCTGCCGGTCCCGCTTCTTAACCATGGTTAGCTGGGTCGTATCAGGGTTTGCGCTCGGGGCTGGGCGCCCAAACGATGTTTGGGGTTTGCGCAACACGCGTCTTTTCCCCCCAGGCAGGCGTCACGAAGCGCTTCGGAAAAGCGGCGCTTCCTGCGTTTCTGGATCTGAACACGCAAGTGCCCCGTTCACACGACCCTTTAAAACCTCGGAGGGGCCAGAAATCCTCGCTCGGCTTCCAGAGTTGTGTGAATGCGACCAAGGGGGTGGGAAAGGGCCATTAAGCGGGGTTCGTAGCCCCTCCAAGACCCGCGACGGCCGTTTTTACAAGGTGCCCGGGAGTTTTGTACATCCGGACGGAGCCAAGCGGGTTTTGTACCCCGGACGGGGTCTTTGGATTCCCAGCCAAACGCGGCTTGGGAAGCCGAAGCGCTGCCCGAAAAGTGGGGCTCCTGACACGGAGGACGGGGAATCCCTGGGAAAGCGTGATTTTCTAACCGGCCGCTGCTCCCGCTTCCCCAAACAGCCCTTTGGGCGAACGTGTGAAAGCGCCTTTTTAGCCACGCACCGACCCAGCCCGTCTGCATTTGGGGTGGGGACCGCTCTCCGCCCCCGCTTTGCCCCGTTTGGGTTGGGGGGGCTGAGTCAAAGGAGAGGAATCGCCCCCCCTTCTCCGCTGATCGCCCGTGTGAATGCCGTGTACACGTGAAATGTAAGGGAGGAGAGTGGGCTTAAATCCAGCCTCTTGCGAAGCTTGGGGGGCGGGTGGGGCAGTTGTGCAAACTCGGGAGTTTTGCAAGCGGGAGGCGAGTGCGAGGAGCAATGCTGCCCTCTGGTGGCCGGGTGTGGGAGAGCAAGCTCCCCTTGCCCTTTCCCTTTTAAATGCCTAAATGGTGAAATTCGGCATTTCTGCCCCCCCAATTCCCCATATCTGCCCCCCACCCCCCAGGTGACCCCCCAGGTGACCCCCCAGGAAAGGGATGTCAGGTGTGGCGCACGGGGCACTTAAAACACTTCAGAGATCCTTTGGAGGGCAATTGCAAGAGATGGCTGCATTTATTGGAATTATCGCTGCTTTATTAAATTTATATGCTGCTTGTCCCACCCTGGAGCACCATGGAGACTTTGCCCTCCTCCCCTTCTGGAGAAGCACAGGGGCTCTGATTCCTCCGTGCTCTGCCCCCAAAATCCAGGGACGACTCCTCAACTTACGGGCTGGAATTCCTGCCGTAGGTTAGGACGGTCGTAAGTTGAGACCTCCTTGGTTTTTACTTTTCTTCCGGCGCTCGTGAAGCAACTGAGTGTAACCCTACGGGCGGCTTTTGCTGGAGATGGCTGAAAACTTGCAAAAAAAACCCCACCCACCCCACCCCCCGCTCCGATAAATCACGGACACTCCGCAGAACCTCGTTATAAAAGTGAATCGGTTGCCGAGCAGTCCAAATTGGGTCATATGATTTTTTCTGTGTGGGCGTGCAGTCGTCACAACTCTGGATCTGGGTCATAAGTACCTTGCTTGGAAGGGGTGGGGGTGGGGGGTGTAGAGAGTTCTGTTGTGATTTTGCTAAGCAACCGGTCGTTAAGGGAGGACTACCAGTAAAACTGTTCACCGGTGAGGGAAACTGAGGCTGGGACTTTCTCCAAGCGAAGGAGGGATGGAAGCATTGGCTTGTCTTGTTTTTAATGCTGGTTTATTCGAGCCAAGTGAGTCCGTCAAGAAACGCCTGCGAGATCTGATCAAAACTGTCCTCAAAATTCAGGATTTGATCTATCAAACCAGATTGGGGAGAGATTCTGACTTCTGTTTTAAATGCAGATCTAGCCTCGTTCAGATGTTCCTTTCGTCCTTCCTCTCTTTCTCCCTCTCTCTCATTCTCCCTCTCTCTCTCCCTCTCTTTCTCTCCTTCCTCTCTCTATCTTTCTCCCCTCTCTTTCTGTCTCCCTCTCCCTCCCTCCCTCTCTCCTTCTCTTTCCTTCTCTCTCTCTCTCTCTCTCTCCATCAAATCGAAATTCAGCCCGTCTGAAGTTCCTTTTGCCGAGGCTTTTAAATTTTTAATCGTCATTCAGGNCCTCCTCTCCTCGTTTCCTCCTCCTCCTCTTCTACTTCTCCTTTGACTTCTTTTTCTCCTCCTCCTCCTCTTCTTCTCCTTCTTTCCTCCTCCTCTTCTCTTTCTCTTCTTCTTTTTCTTCTTCTTCTCCTCCTCTTCTACTTCTCCTCCTCCTCCTTCTTTTCCTCCTTCTCTTCTTCTTTGTCTTTTTCTCCTCCTCCTCTTCTTCTACTTCTCCTCCTCCTCCTTCTTTTCCTCCTCCTCTCTCTTCCTCTTCTTCTCCTCCTCCTTCTTTTCTTCCTTCTCTTCTTCTTTTTCTCTCCTCCTTCCCCTCCTCTTTTCCTCCTCCTCCTCTTAATCCTCCTCTCCTTCTCCTCCTCCTCTTCTACTCCTTCTTTGACTTCTTTTTCTCCTCCTCCTTTCCATCTCCTTCTTTCCTCCTCCTCTCTCTTCCTCCTCTTCTTCTCCTCCTCCTCCTCTTTTCCTCCTTCTCCTCTTCTTCTTTGTCTTTTTCTCCTCCTCCTCTTCTACTCCTCCTCCTCCTCCTTCTTTTTCTCCTCCTCCTTCTTTGCCCTGCAGGAGACGAGCAAGATGGCCTCCCCAGCGGACAGCTGCATCCAGTTCACCAGACACGCCAGCGACGTTCTGCTGAACCTCAACCGCCTCCGGAGCCGAGACGTCCTGACGGACGTGGTGATTATCGTCAGCCGGGAGCAATTCCGGGCCCACAAAACGGTCCTCATGGCCTGCAGGTGAGGAGGGGCTCAGACACCCCCCCCCCAAATCACCCCCCCCCGGTGGGACGTTGCAGCCCAGCCTTGAGGAATTGGGTTGACCCTCTAGAATGGCCAGATTCACTTAACGACCGTGTGACTAGCTTAACAACTGCAGGGATTCACTTAACAACCGTGGCAAGAAAAGTTGTCAAAAGGGGGCAAAGTTCACTGTCTCACTTAGCAACAGGCATTTTGGGCTCAGTTGTGGTTGTTAAGTCGAGGACTAACCGTATCCCACCAATGAAAGCTATTTTGGATTTTTAGCGAGGCGTTTTGAGTCCTCCCAGGGACACAGCTGAGCTTTCGAAATGAGGGAATAAGGGAATTGGAAGGGACCTTGGAGGTCTTCTAGTCCAACCCCCTGCTCCACCAGGAGATCCTCTTCCATTTCAGACAAATGNATTCTTTGCAAGTTTAAATCCGAAATGAAGAGTCTCTGTCTGGTTAATTAACGAGTCTTGCGGGAACCGGTGGGTCTAATTTAGCCGAGGGAAGCGTGGCTCGCTGCTTAACGATAAAGATAATATATAAAACCCACTTATTTTAAGGCAGAAAAAACGGCTCAGGGCTCAAAAACGGCAGAAATGCTGTAATTCTTCTGTTAAAAATTGCTGATTCAGTTGGCGGCCCACAAATTTTGCTGGTGGAAGCACCCACGGGGGTGTGGGGGGGGAGAGAAATAAATGAAAAAGCCCAGTCCAGAAGTGGGACTCGGGGGGGGGGGCAGGGAGCCCCCGAGGTGTAAGGTGAGATGGGCAGGTGGGACGGCGTGGATTTTGCTGGTGAAGATGCAACGCACAAGAGACAAAGTGGGGGGCTTCATCGCCGGAGGCTTTTGAGAAGAGGCTGGTCTCCAACCTTGGGCACTTTTAAGACTGGTGGACTTCAACTCCCAGAATTCCTCAGCCAGCTTGGCTATCTGTGTCAATCCATGCATCTGTATCTGCCCATTTAGCCATTATATCAATTTGTCCGTCTCATCTATATATCATCTGTCTGTTTGTATGTCCATCCACTCATCCATCCATCCACATCCATCCATTTAGCTATCTTTATTTATCCTTCATATATTCTGTCTGTCTGTCCATCCCTCCCTCTCTCCTCCTATCTCTCCTTCTCTGTCTGTCTGTCTCTCCTTCCATCCATCCTCATCTATCCATTTAGCCATCTTTATCTATTTATCCATCACTTTATACATTCTGTCTGTCCGTCCATCCACTCATCCATCCATCCATCCCTCTTTCTATTCATTCATCTCTTTCTCTCCGATTCCTTCTCTCTCTCTCTCTCTCTCCATGCATTCATCCGCATCTCTCTATCCATTTAGACATCTTTATCTATTTATCCATCTCTCTATACATTCTGCCCATCCATTTTCTCTCTCATCTCTGTCTTGTCTGTCCATCCATTTTCTCTCTCATCTCTCTGTCTGTATGTGCATCCATCACTTTCTCTTTCTATCCATCCATCTCTTTCTCTCTCTCCCTCCTTCTCCCTCCTCCTCTCTCTCTCCATTTATTCATCCATCCATCCATCCATCCATCCAATTTCTATTGCCATCCACCTCAGATCAATGATGGACAG